AGATATTGCAATTACAGGTGGGTGCTCGATGTATCGGGAATTGAGATGTATATATTATTAGAAAGCTATATTAATGGTTATATTAGATCTAAATTTCGTTTTCTGTGTTATTAGAAGTTAAGAATAATAAAATTCGAATAGATGAGAGTTATCAATATTTTTGGCAAAATAGGTGTAGTTTTTTGGTGAGACTTAGATGCTTACCTTATGTTTTAATGAGTGTCTTTGTATTTGGGAGTAAACACGCCAATTTGCTAACTGATTCTGATAACTCACTCTCTCTGCGTAGGTAGATTTGAAAGAGAAAGTAGATATTTTGGGCACTCAAAGAGCGTTAACGCTCCAAACGATAGAATGTAGAGACTTTTTCAATCACATCACGTAACTATATGAATTTAAAAAAGAAACTTTTGAAATGGTTAGAAATGACTCTATAATACCTATTTTTAAAACTGAATAAAAAAACTTGATATACAGAAATATTACATTTGCAATTATGAAATTAGTTTTTTAAGCAAGCATGGAGCTTTTTCCCCGATTTGACGTTATTGAGATTTCGTTCACATCAAAACTGTTTCTATAACTTTTGAATTAAAATAAAAAAATAAATTATTTTAGAATTAATCAAAATAAAAGAACCGGAAATAAGCCACTCTTCCTCAATTTGCACAAAAAATGGTGTGTTTTGTGCTAAACAAAGAGCCCGCCCCAATTCCAATATATAGTTTGGGGTGTTGTGTCATAATTTGTAACAATCTTTAAAAACGTTAAGGGTTTATCTGTAAACTTTTGCTTTACTTCTATTAGTTTAACTAATGTAATTTCACGCCCTTATTAATTTTATTTAAATTGTAGCCTTTTAGTCCGCCTGTAGCATTTTTAAATTTGTGAGACAGGGTCCGCTGGAGCTTCTTGAAGTTAGTGTTCAACAATTTAGTCCATTCCCGTATCAGATTGAGAGGTTTAAGAGAATTCATCAATTTGAAAGACACTTTGTGTTCTATATTGGTCTCTAGGAATTGCGAGGAAATGAATTAATATTAGATACATACTGTCGTATGCTTATCAAACTTCTTGGTGTGGTCCTCGTATTGAAAAAGTTTTAAATTTATTTTGTAATAGGTTGATTTTTAAAATTTTTTTACGCAACAAGATTTTAATACAGAAAAGTAAAGCAGAATGATGCTAGATTTAACAAATTTGGTGTATAACTAGTACAGTAAGTAGGGTTCTTGATATTGGTTTATGTTACGTTAGAATTTTCAATCTTCCAAAATGAGAAGGTAATTATATTATCAATTGATCATTCCTGTTCAAAAATGAAAGTTAAAATTATAAATTTTGGGGAACACTTGTCTAATTTAATAATAGAAAAGGTCAAAATAGAAATCTAAATTAAAAATGTTATAGATTTAAACAAAATATACAAAATTAAATAAAACTCAATAATAAATTAAACAATAAGGAAAAAGTGCATTTGAGTGTGTGAATCACAATAATCGAAAAAGTGCTTAAATTACACACTAATAGTTTGAAATACTTATAAGTAAGTGAAAAATGTTATAGTAAATTTTTGTTAACTAGATGGTCAATATAAGTATAATTTTATTTTATTATGCTTATAGTGAAAATTGTAAAATGGTTTTCGCAACGTAACTATAAAAAAACAAATGAGTTTGAAAATGAACATTAACAAATTAGAGCACGCTACGATAAAATGATATTTCCTTGTTAGATATGGTTAAGGTAAGGAGCGAGTATAAGATTTATTTACCTGCATATAGTTCTATTCGATGAAATTTGGATACATCTAATTCAAATTTGCTAAGCTACACATTTAAAGAGTCTCCTAGTGCTTTAACCAATCAAATATGTATGTATACTCAAATCTTCTTCTTGGATTATTAAGATATTTGCTATTTATTTTTAATACGTCTTTTGGACTTTGAGGATTTAATTATAATTTATTTTCATATACATAGTTTATAAAAATAATGATAAAATATTGTATATATATTTATAATGTACCTAACCATAACATTAATCTTCAATTTTTAAATCTGAAAAATACTAACTACAAGAATAATTTTTTTTTTTTCTCTCAATTCCTGTTAATGATAGAAAAATATTATATGATATAAGTTTGATTTCAAGTAAAATTTAAAAATCGGTAAAATATTTAAATAATTTAAATAATCTAAAAAAAATTTAATAGTTAATTAAAATAAATATTCAAAAATTTTAAAATCGTAAAAATTTTAAATTAATTTAAATATTTAACTAATTAAAATAATTTTAAAATTTAAAAATTTTAAATTTAAAAACAACTCCTAACACTCTCAAATCCGTAACAAACACAATAAAACAAACTCAATTAAAAAATTATTTTTAAAACTCATAAAATACACATAACTCGAAAACTTCATACTACTTTCTAAAACAACTCTAGAACACTCAATCGGTAAACCAAATACAGAGACAAAACAAATTAATAATAATTTAACAATATATTTTTTAAAAATAGAGTTTGAATTTATCTCTGACTCAAGATCAGAGTATTTAAAAATTTTAAAAAAAATTAAAATCCGTAATATTTAAAAATATTCAAAAAATTTTGAAAAAATTTTAAAAAATTAAAAAAAATTGTAAGCATATTTAAATATAAATAGTTAAAGATTAATAAAATTAAAAATTTTTAAAAATATTGATTTGAACTGGAGTTTTAATAATGAGTATTTGGATTGGTGTTTGGTTATGAATTTGAAAAGTAATGTTAATGTTTTGAATGAGTTTTTGAGAAATGAGTGTAGAAATTATGATTGAGAAAAACCCTCACACAAACACCACACTCAAAAAGTATAGTGGGAACTAGTTTTTGAAAAAGCCTACCAAACCAACGGAGGCCTTAAATCATTTCATACACTCGTAAATTTTTAGTGTTCGTAGTAAATTTTTAAAAATATTTAATCAAATATTTTTTAGCTTTTTTATCCCCCCTTAATGTAGTTGACTCTATTCACGTTTTTTCTTTTTTACAAAACATCATGAAAAAGATACAAAAATAGTTGACTTTTTTTACTATGAATCAAAAAGAAAGAAAAGTAGACGAAATGGGGATTTTTCTCACACAAATAGATAATAAATGAATATAAGAAGAACAAAACTTTGCCTGCCAAAATTTACGTAAAGTTAAACCTTATTTCAAATAGAGATCAATGGCTGACCTTGTGGATATGATTGTGATTAATTAATCTATGTAACTCACATTTTATTATTTGGTTTGTTATCTAAATTAGATTTCGATAGATACTTACTCAACAAAATTGACGATTTTTTTAAGCCTACAATTAATAATAGGGTAAATTACATTTACCTCCCCTGAGGTTACTGACAAATACAGGGACCTCCCATGTAGTTTCAATAATTACAATAACCTCCCCTGCTTTACCTGACAATGTCAAGATTCCCCCTTCTGTTGACTTCCGTTTATTTATTTCACAGAAAAAGCTGATGTCATCAAAGCCAAACATTAAAATGTCTATAATGCCCTCAAGTGTCCTCAACCCATCTATGTCCAGAACAGTGTATTTTTTGAGAAAATGGTGGGTAGTTTCCTTTACCTTCATTTTGTGACTGCTAACTCCATTACCATATATCTCTCTCTCTCTCTCACTCTCTCATAAATCTTCAAAAATGTCTCCTCAAATCCAAATAGGTGGTCATGAAGACTACCATTCCTCATCAAATCACACACAATTATCCTCTGGTGGCCTTCTAGAGGAGTAGTAACAGTACAATACCCTCTCAAACCCATGAGATTCATGTGTCGAACGCTCGCAATGACCTCAACCTCGTCGGCGAAAACCGCATCGCCTCCCACCGAGCAATTCTTGAACCGCTTTAACGCAACTTTAGAGTCATCCGACAATACCCCTTTGTATACATTCCCATACCCACCTCTCCCAATTATGTTCAACCTAGAGAAATTCTTTGTTGCTTCCCTAATTTCATCACAACTACACAACTACACAATGGTTCTAACTCTAGGTTGAACAAATCTAGAGATAGAAATTCTTTCTACACAACTACACAAACCCACAATCTATCACAACTACACAAATCACAATGGTTCTAACTCTACCATTCGAATTGCTCAAATCAGAAAAATCAGTATCTTCATTGGTTGGGCCGAAACGATTGATAAACACCGCGGCGTAAATCGAAGGGTATGCCATGCAATCGGAGAGGTTTCCAATTGATCGGCCGTTCAAATTCGAAGGTTCGAGGCTCGAGAGACTGGTGGTGCAAGAAGCGCACGGCCAACCGTTACCAAGAGATTGATTACACGCCTTCACGGCATCGTCTAACGCCGATTTCGAAACATTGCCTTCGAATGCATCAAGAGTAGTGATGTTCATACAACCCTCGGCGATCCAAGAGGCCTGGAAACTGCAGATTTGCGAATATCATTGAAATTGGGGAAGAAATCGTTTATTAGGGTTTGGTATGAAACCCAACAAGACTCGGCGAAGTCAATTGGAGGAAGAAAATTGTTGGTGATTCGGAGATAATCGGACTGAATGAGTCGAAGACCGACCTTGATGTAGTGACAAGAGACGGAATCGGAGTCGAGTTTTGGACGATTTGAGGATTGAATGAGTCGACGAAGGACGTCGAAATCAAGAGGACATGATGAGGCCGTGGTGTGGAGGTGGCGGGCAGCGGAGGCAGTGGTGGAGAAAGAAGATGAGAGAAGAGAGATGTAGAGCTGTAGAGAGAGAAAGAAGAGGAAGATGAGGGACATCTGGGGAGTGATTTAGAGAATTCAGATTACACTGCTGTTGCAATTGGAAACCAGAGTGAAGTTGGGATTGGGGGATGAGATGAGATGAGAGAGAACAAAAAAATTAAAATTAAAATTAAAAACAAAGTTGAATACTATAATCAGAGGGTATTTCGTCTTTTCATGCTCAAATAAAAGGGTAATATGGTCATTTTGTATACAAAAGTAACGTCGTTTATGTATAATTGACGGATTGGGGGAATCTGTACAATGTCAGGTAAAGCAGGGGAAGTTAGTGTAATTATTGAAACTACAGGGGAGGTCCCTGTATTTGTCAGAAACCTCAGGAGAGGTAAATGTAATTTACCCTTAATAATAATACAAAAGAAACATATAAGATTGAGATTTTTATTGATAAGTCCAATTTAGAAGTGTTTTAACCCAAAAAGTTCATGAAGGAATTTTTTAACCCATTTAGTCCAATTTATGTATAGTTTTATTCCATAAAGTCCATTTTCTTGATTTACACTATTTTCATGGACACTTATGCCTTATATTATAATTTTGTACCCTTATAAATATTTTAACCGATTAGCAATATGTAATGATAGTGAACATTCATATTTTAAAATTCACATTTGTAGGATATGAAAAGTTGGCCCTGTGGGCGTCCCTGAACCGCCCGCGGAGGCAGGGCAGCGCCGGCCTCGTTGCAACAATGTGATATATTCACATTGACATATGGTAAAATTCACAATTAATAGGAGTGTAAAAATTGGCCCCCCGTCCCTCAAGCGCGAACCCGCCGGGCCCCTGGGCGGCCCCGGGCGGGCCCGGTCCGGCCTGTTAACCATGTGAATATTCAGCATTGACTATGTTAATATCACATTGATAAAATTATATAATTGGGCCGCGGCCCATGTGAAGCCAAATAGCCCGCTCGCAGCCCGGGGCGGGCCCCGGCCCGGCCCGTGGACAAAGTGAAATATTCACATTGCATGTTAACATTCACATTGATAGGAGTGAAAATTAAGCCGCGCCTCGTAGCTGCCCGAACCCGCCCAGGCCCCTGGGCAGGCCCGGCTCGGACTGTTGACAATGTGAAAGTTCACATTGACATGTTAAACATTCACAATTGATAAGAGTAATGAAAAAACTAGACAGCAGCCCAGGCGGCCCGACTCGGCCGGCCCGGCCGTTGAAAATGTGAAATATCACATTGACATGTTACATTCACATTAATCGAGGAGTGTAAAATTGGCCCCCGTCCCATACGGCGCGAAACACCGCCCGCGGCCCATGGGGCCGGTCCGGCCCGTTTGACAATGTGAATATTCACTATGACATGTTAACATTCACTTGATAAGGAGTATAAAGAGTTTCGGCGGTCTGCACTGTATACTTGGACTAGTACACGCCAGCGCGCTCGGCATTTATCAAGGTCAGGGTAGACTGGCCCATCGTATCGTCCTCGTTGACAATGTGAATTTCACGATTGACATGTTAATATCACATTGATCAAGAGTGTAAAATTTGCACCGCAGCCTGTGGGCGGCCCGAAGCGACCGCAAGCCCGGAGGGCGGGTGGCCCGACTCGGTGACAATTGGAATAATTCAATTGATAATGTTAACATGCACATTGATAGGATGTAAATTAGCCGCGCTCCCGTGGCTGCCCCGAAACCCGTCTACGGCCCTGTGGGCCTGCCGGGCGGGCCCGGCCCTTTCCTGCTTGAAAATGTGAAATATCACATTGACATGTTAACAGTTCATCATTGATAAGAGCGTAACAATTGCCGTGATCACGTGGGCAGCCCCGAAGATCCCGACTTACCAGCGGCGGGCCGGCGGGCCCCATTGGCAATGTGATATTCACATTGACATGTTATACATTCACATTGAAAGAAGCGTAAACATTGGCCCGCAGCCCGTTGGGCGGCCTGAAGAGGGCTTGGCCCGACCCGTGATAAATGTGAATAATTCACATTGACATGTTACATTAACATTGATAGGACGTGTAAAACCCAATAGCTCAAGCTGCCCGACAGCTCGCCCGCGGCCTGGGTAGGCTCAACCAAACCCAGCTACCCCTGGGCCGCGCCATGGCTTCGGGCCGCCCATGGGACGTGAGTCAATTTTACATTTCTTATCAAATGTGAATGTTAACAATGTCAATGTGAATATTCCACAAGTTGTCACAAGGCCGACCCGGGCCCGCCTCGAGCCGCCCACGGGCCGTGACTGTTTCGGGGCTATTACAAGATTATAAAAGGTATGGCATAATATGAATTTAACAGAGTGGCGAT